GGAGCGATGACGATGCCGGTTCAAGTCCTGCCCGAGTCATAAATTTTTTCAATTTATTTTCGATTTTAAAATTAGATTAAGGTTTTTCAAGAATTTTTTAATTATGTTTGTAAGAGTACGGACACATTACTTATCTATTTTTAGATACTGTCTATAGTTGACGCGAGTAGTACACATTTAAATAAAACACTTTAACGGTTTAAAACGCGATATATTAGTTAAACTTATTTGAAAATGATTTTTAACTTTTAAGTCTCCCCGTGACCACGGCTGCTGCAAAGCATCCGAAACGTCGGGCCGAAGTTAAAAATAATTTTCAAATAAGTTTAACTAATATATCGCGTTTTAAACCGTTAAAATGTTTTATTTATCTATTTTTTATGATAGAGAAAGACAGAGAAGCGTGTGGTTTACTTTATTGTATGTAAAATACCCCAGACATATAACAACTAAGCAACATGCGTACCTATTTCGGCTTCGGATATTAGAAAAAAAAAATCTTGCTTCATGTTCGACCTAAACAAATCTAGCAGTTCATATTCTTTAAGAATTTGCGATAAATATTTGAAGATAGGTTAAAAATATTTGCCGCAGTTCAAAGTGATGACGCCAACAATGGGCATTCACGAGGGAACAGCACCAACCACTTTGAGCCACCCGGTACTTAATCCCCGAAGCCTTGCATTCCTCACATATAAGTCTTTAAAAAAAACGCGCGCCGTGTCCTTTGAAACGCAGATTTTAAATTGAATAATAGAAATATTTCACACCGATTCTGCGTGATAAAAATTCCATGTCTCACGATGTTGTCTTTTGTAAACTCTCGGATTCGTGTCTGTTCTGATCTGTTCTATTCCGCGTCAAGTTGACATTTCATATTTTTCACATGTTATTTGCACACGATGGCGCCATATAATTTAAAAATTCAAAATAAATTGAAAAAATTTTCGTCTCGGGCAGGACTCGAACAGGCATCGTACGCTGATGATGCCGGTTCAAGTCACGAGTTTCCGACTCTTGCGCTTTCGAAACGAACATTTTTTCAATTTATTTTCGATTTTTTTTTAATATAACGCAATACTTGTATATAGAACTCGGTGCTTTAAAAGCTACTTCACAAACAACTTCACTATTCTTATTTTTATTTATTTATTTAGTCAGAAAACGAGATATAACATACTTACTGGTGCAATAGTACAATAACCTATATGGTGAAGGAAGACTCAACTATGTTCTACTTAAACTAATTTATTTAAAATAAATAAATAGATTTAATTATTGCCAAATAGATGCAAAGAATTACTCACTAGTAAAGATATATAAAAAAGAAAAAAATCTAGCCTTTAAATACCTTTTCTATCTAAATTACATTATGTTTTATCTCATCTACAAGGTTGCCTGGACAACCGTTGTTATGTATCTTTGTATCTTAATTTCTGTGTTAATTTTGTGGTTAAAAGTTACTTTTAACAAAAAATAATAGTACAGTAAGTAATATGTATTTTGATTTGTTAAATAGAAGTGTATAGAAATTTATACAATACTTTTATAATATAAATTTGATGTTTCAACGAACTTACTACAATTATCTAAGTTTCAACAAAATAAATCATTACAATCGGTTCTCAAACGACAAGGTTATGCGGGAACAAACATTAAAAAAATCTAAACTGAAAACCTACTTTTTTGAAGTCGGTTAATTAACATTTACGCTGTGACTCCTAAGCGAATGGGAAAATAAGGTGTCTTGAATATTCTTGACATACTTGTAAAGTAGGTGGACCCGAATAATATCTCAAAAGGAATCAAAACCCATTCAATAATTCCGTTGCATTCGATCCCAAAAAAAAAAACTGGTTCCGTACAATATCATAATGGTTACCTATGAATAATAAGATGAAATAAAAAATCTTCGGGCACAGTCGTGAGCATGTAGATAAACCTTTATGTAAATACAATGCAACAATCTTGTTCTGTCCGTACGTCGTATTCAAAGGCATTCGTGTTTCTCTTTCACCGAATAACTTTTTAATTTATATGCGACTAATTTTTTGACTACAAATTCCCACAGCTGGGACGGCAGCTAATTATATATTATTTAAGTGTGTTTTTTACTTCGGTGGAAATATGTTATGAAATTATATATAATTTATTTTAACTGAGGCCCGACGCTTCGGCTCACCGACCGACTGATGTTTGTCAGTTGCGAGTAGTTTCTGATACGTGCTCTACAGCCAAGACAAAACTTTGCGGGGGGGGGTAATGTCATTTAACAATAAATACTTTAAAAAACACTTAAGTTTTGTATATTTCACGTTTTAAACCGTTAAGTGCTTCTTTTAAAATGACATATTGTTATATAGAAAACCTTAACACTTTGCTACACACCCGAGCACGTTTTTGCTACTTGCGCAAACTATAGACAATTCTTAATTAGCGACGATTTGTTTGCTCGGCGAAAAAGAAAATCTTGTTACCAAAACAAATATTAAAGCGCTCGGCGAGTACGCAGAAGCATTAATACAAATTACACCAATCATAACTGGAGACGTTGATCCAATTTTTAAAATGAATACAAGCGTGATTGGTAATAATACGAAATGAGAGACTTCTCCATAGCAACGCCTTTCACACAAAACCGACCTTCACCTTGCCTCGTCTGCTGAAACGAATTCTTGGCTTTTGATAGAGCCAATCACTATAAACGCCCCATTTCCATAGAAATACTCTCTTACTAACAGAGTTGATGTAAACACTAGAGATGGTCGCACGCTGGAACCGAAACCGAATTGGAGCCTAAATTCGGTTAAAATTATAACTTCGGTTTAAATTTCCTTTCTGTTCCTATCTTTAAATAATGATTTCGAACAATAAACTTAGATAAAAATTAGGTCCCATTTAACAAGGATAATTCTCTAAAAAGTAGTTAGTCATTTTCTAATACAAAAAATGCATTTACACAATGAACTCTATTACAATAACAAGAGTGTATAAATTACTTGTAATTATTCATCGCGGTTCGGTTACAGTCTATGAATTTTCGAATATCTAAAGTCAAAAAAGGTCAACAGCACAACTTGTTTAGACGCTCTAGGGCTGGAGTATATCACCTACCATCCATGTCTCTCGTCCCCTATGGAAAAAAAGTATGAGAACCGAATCCCTGCCCATCCCTAGTAACACACACCAAGTATAAGGTAGAGACATGTCAACTTCGTGGGGTTATACGAGGTAAAGTTTTAGGCCATTTGCTTTATAAGGTGACCCTTTCAAGGGCGCCTTTTATTCAGATCGTCGAAGTTGTTGACAAGTTTTTGTTCGTAAACGAATTACTATTCAAATGTCGAGAGGAAATCGGTTGGAAATTACGCGCCGTTACTTGAAATATGTGTAATCTTTAGATAGATTTTTTTTTATATTTGTAATCTGTAGTTAGAAATCGATTATAAATTGAAAAAAAATTACGACACGGGCAGGACTTGAACCGGCATCTACAGCGTTCCTATGTCCAATTGAAAATAAATAAAAATTTTATGTTTATAAAATTAACTTATATGGTGCCATCATGTGCTAAATATTAAAGATGTTAATCGGTACTTTACGCGAATGGTACAGACAAAATAATCAAATTTAACGGTTTAAAATGATAGTTCAATTTAATATAATACATATTTGCATACATCTAAATTAAATATTATATTTATTGTGTCACGTCAACAGCCCAAACTGATGGCTGGCTTTTTTCGCCATTTGAAACTTACTGAACCATGGCCTCGAGTAATTCATATACATATATATCATTTTTTTAATATAGTACATATTTAAAAAAATGATGGAAAATAAATAATGTTTCCTTTCTTTCAAGAATTTTTCAATTCCCACCAGTTCCTGAGATTGGTGCATACAAACAAGCAAACTCTTCAGCTTTTTACATATATTAGAATAGATAATGCTTGTTATTTCATTATTAACTTTCATACGACCCGACGTTTCATATCTGTCATTAGTATACATAAAGTACGATTGGAAACGTCAAGTATGCTTTGACGTAAGAAAACATGGGGTAGTTTTTTTCTCAATGAATATTCTATTCAGTGCTGATTATCATAACAACCTGTGAAGCAGACGCGCCCGTGTCGAAGCTAATAAAAATGCAAACAGAACATTTTTGATAGATAAAGGGAGCAACAAAAACGTATTGTGGCTGTGTGCTATGTATGGGCTTGTGGTAACAACGATCGTGGGTTCGATCCCCGCCGAGTCTAACATGTCTTTGATCAATTTATAATTCTTCTGAAACATGTTGAGACTTTATCTGGGATTCTAGATAGTAAATGAATATAGAAATTTCGTCCGGGTCCACCTTTTTACAAAATTACAAAGGGTCCTAAGATCCTAAAATCTAAAATAATATTTTTATAATTGAAGTATTGAAATACTCAAATTTCTTTTAAAAACATTGAAATACAGTATATGGAACGAATCATTACGATTTCTTATGCCGTAGTTAGACAATGAATTTTGCAGGCTTCAATTAAAAGCATTTTAAAATCCTATATTTATTACTCACTTGCCTTTAATATGACGAGACCACACACCTTTGCGGGTCTTTAAGTTTTTTTGGTTGGGTACCTTAGAGATCAAACGACATTATTTGCATTTTTGTTATGACACTAAAATCAATAATTTAATATAAGGTCATTTGCGTCGCCTTTATATAAACAGTGCTAAAACAATTTAAGCAAAATGTTGAGATACTTATAAGTACATTAGTTCTTATAAAAAAGTTTAGGTTGACTCAAGATGCAAAATTTTTCTTTTCACAAATTAATGACCCACTCATTTCAATTTTATGTGTATAGTCTTGAAAACTTTGATGTCAAATGTCACAATGTGACGTTCTTTTTCGTCTATATTGAAAATTTCAGTGGCTGAATTTTTTTGTGAATATTTTTTCTTGTATTTGGTTAAAATAGAACAGCTTATAATTGTCCTGTATAATGTTAAATATATCGCAAAGTGAAATGGAGTTAAGAAGGCTTCAATCAAACGAGTTTTCACCACAAAATTCGGTTGATCAAATCATCAGGAAATATACTGAAAAAAGAAGTGAAAGATTTCCTATCAATAATACCAACACCCCGAGTAAAAATGAGTCGTACATGATTTCAACGAAAATAGATACTTCTAAAGATCGTGCTATCAATAGTGAATTTAAGGATAACACATTGTTCAACTTTATAACAAACTACAAACCTGAAGATATAAAAAATGAATATAACTTGAATCAATATGATAAACATTCCAGACATTCAAATGTAGCAGAGGAAAGATCTCACAAAAAATGTATAGACAAATCTACTCATTGTCGACCAGTTCTTAACCTTTATAACGAGGGGTTTATATTTAAAACTTTAGAGGAAAACGTAAAGCTTACTTCTATCGTGAAAAGATTATTTTATGCACATCAAAGGGAAAAAGAACATGAGGCGTGGAAAAATTTTATAAACCTTTTGAAGAATAAACATAAGCAAGACGACAATAGTCATATTAATAAAAATATACCTAATTTCCTAGAACGAGAATATGATTCCGAACGTCTAGAAGATTACTATATTACAAAATTCAAATCTCGTCAATCCAACACATACAAGACTTTACTTGACGATATATATAGAAATTCGGATGAAATAGATAATTCAAGAAACTTGTGTGATTCGAAAATTGTGCACCAACGTGAAAGTCATACTCCATATAGAAGATATTCAGTTTGTTATCCTACATCTTCTTTAGGTCGTCTTACCGTATTGCAAAGAGAGAAAGAACGGCTAGCTCGCATTGAAAAACATGAAAAAAGCTTAAAGGAAAATAGAAATAAGAAAATTCAAAACAAATACCTTAAGAAAAGTGATACTTTAGACTTTTATCAACCCGAAAGTATATGTAGTGTTTTAAAAAGTGAGATAGTTCAAACAGAATCAGTTGCTAACAAAAGTTCAAAAACTAAAAATAATAGAAAGATTTACAAGAATTATCGTTGTGAACAAAACACACAGACTTTAGAACCAACAAACGATAACGTAAAAAATATACCACTAAAAGAAATTGAAAATAAGTTAGAGACATTGATTAATTCAATTAATGGTCTAATTGACGAATTCAAAAAGAAAAGAAAAGTAAAAATTGAGTCAAAAAACAATGGCTTGAGCAAACATTTTGACGGTTTAAATAGTATCATAGTGAGTAACGATGATGAAAAGAAATTGAAAGAATCAAGAAAAAAATATTACAGCAGTTCAGAGAACGCTCTACCCAGGGACACCTCTAATATTCTTTGCCAATTGCAATTCGGACGTCACGAAATTAAATGATATATTTTCGAAGCAACTGGGGGACAATTTGTCGTCTAATAGGACTTGTTCAGTGCAAATTACTTTTGAGGTGCCAACCAGAGAAAGATCTACGGAAGTGACGAAATCACTCTCCAAAGCAGGAGATTTGTGGCGACCTAGAATAGAAGAAATGAATATGCCAAGAGAACATGGAAATGAACAAATAACGATAGCTGTAAATACAGATCCTTTGAGTATTTTGACGTTACTAAGAATATCTACTCAGGCGATGAAGGGATTGTTATCATATATGTCTAATATTGATTATTATTACTATCTATCTAAATTGTATGTACCTCAATTGCCAAGCGCAGAGAATACTTTTGTATGCAACATATGTAAGGCAAAATTTAGCAAGGCCTCTGACTTAAGCGATCACATTCAAGCACACGATTTGGGCAAAGTGAAGTAAGTTGTTTACGATAAGCCAACTTTTTACATTCACTTTTTTTCAAGAGGGCCCTATTTTTTTAAATTTTTTTTCCTTTTGCTCCCCCTTCCCTGTTTTCTTCTTTGTGGGCCCCCCCCCCGGGCGGCGGGGGCGGGTGGTTGTTTTCCCCCCCCGGGGAAATTTTTTTTTTTTTTTTTTTTTTTTTTTTTTTAGCTTATTATCTTACTTAAAATTGTTAACTTCTAAACTAATATTATAAACCTAAGTTTGCTTCTTTAAACACACTAATTTCAGAAACTACCGGTCCGAATTGAATAATTATTTTTGTCTTGAATAGGTCATCGAGAAAATATTAGACAAAAAAATATTAGACTGCTGCCTACAGGAGCAAAGGATATGTGGTAAAAATATATTTTTGAGGGTCTCCGTTGCATGCGCTCCAAATTCAATTCAACCAACAAACCAAAAAAGATATTTATGAAAGAATGATTCCTCTTTACATGATCTAAAAAAATATACACGACAGTATATGTCTATCTTTTAATGTTAACTCGCAAGAACTAAGGCACACGGCCCGTGGGTAATACTATATTTTATAAATATAAGGAGGTGAAATTTTGATGGCCAAAATAACTAGGTATTCAATGGGGACGAAGGCGCTGAAAGAGGTGGGAGTGATGTTTTATGCCTCCCTTGATAAATCATTCAACCAACATAAAAACAATGTTCAATTCGAACTAATAGTTCCAGAGATTAGCGCGATCAAACGAACTCCTCAGCTTTATAATATTAGTACAGATTAATTTATATATCTAGGTATAAACTTGACAGTTATATGAGGTAATGATTACAAAATGTATAAACAGACACATAACGAACAAAATACATTACAGGAATTGCTGTCTATGCCGACACATTTTGAACCTCCGACGACCAAATAACGTCTACAGCTGTCGCCACTGTGGCCAGTGCTTTACCAGGGCCTATTGCTGTCAATTGCACCAAGAAGAATGTGCAAAGCGCTTCACTAAGCATGTTACTAATTCTAACTTGTTGATCTTGAGATAAATCCTCGTATAGTAGTAGACAGAAAATGACCTGACATCGCGTTGGTACTAGACCTTTATTTAACATAATTTGATAAATACGTAAGTTTTACTATGAAGTTATATTTTGAGCTCCTAATATCGATACATTTATTCACTGATGTTACAAATTAGATACTGAAAGCCAATTACAAGTTTAGGCTTTTGGATTCAGAAATATTAAAAAAAACAAGAATTGTTAATTTTCCTAAAACCTTTTGCGTTGTCTCTTACAATATAGCTTTTTTTACTTATATTCGACGGGTCGTGGGTTCGACCCCCACCGGGTCCAAATTTTATATGATATTGCAAACCAATACACGGTAGTAATCTTGAACTCACTGAAATGTCTATTAAAATGACATTTAAATAAAACACTTTAACGGTTTAAAACGCGATATAAATTGGTTAAACTATATCACGTTATCTATATACTACAATATACATCGCGTTTTAAACTGTTTTATTTGTATGTGTACTACTCGCATAAAGTACACACGGCGATAATACATTTATTTTTGTTTTAAACCGTCAAAAGTGTTTTGTACAAAAAATATCATATTAGACATTAATAAACGACAATTAAGATTTGAAATTACACCTTTTTAATACATATAACGTTTTATTACATAAACGTAAAAGCTTCTCGATTTTAAAATTAAGTGTTAAAGATAAAATGTTTGGACAATTTAAAATTAATTGCATAATTAAGTTCAACCCTTCCGATTACGGTGCGCGATATTTTATTTCTCGTTTATTGAAATGCTAAAAAAGATATGTTTGCTTTAATTAAAATGGTATCGTCAATTTGACTTAATTACTCAATCTGGCAATATTATCTATACTGATATATAAACCTGAAGAGTTTTTATTCGCACTAAACACAGGAACTACGAGTTCGAATTGAAGGCAAGGCTATAAAACATCGCCCCGTGACTAATACAAGCGAAGATATAGCGAGAAATATGAAAAAAAATGGAAAAATTATTCCACCTTGTTTTCCGTTGGTTACGCTGCGAAAACGATTGATGATACCCAAAAATATGTATGAAAGAATGATTGCTCTTTAAAGGATCTAAAAAGGACGCGGACGGCGACGAAATTTATAGAGTTAGACAGGAGGTTTGCAAAAACAAATTTTGACGCCCAAAATTATTATCGCGGACAAAGTCGCTGACACAGCTATATTAAATACTGTCTATAGTTTACGCGAGTAGTACACATTTAAATAAAACACTTTAACGGTTTAAAACGCGATATATTAGTTAAACTTAAAGTTAACCTAATATATCGCGTTTTAAACCGTTAAAGTGTTTTATTTTAACAGCTATATTATTCAAACATATTAAGACATGTCTACGGGTAATATTTTATATTGTTTACGGTCACATCGCTATTACCTCAACACATTTTAACGTCAAGCTTGTGTCCAAATTTTTTGTCAGATCAGGCGGACCTTTGGGATAATTGGGGAGAGCTATTGTGGATAGGTCTTTGTGGTACCGACTCGCATCTATCATGGTTTGTCAGGACTGGAGGTGACCCTAATGTATTACTTTAATAGTATTTGAATTAAGGCTGCTTATGAACTAAAGTTGTAAGCTTAAATAACAAGTTGAATTTAAAAAAAATCACGTTTTAACTTTTGTCTGTGGATCTCCGAATATCCATCCTGCGAATAGCCGAAATAGGTCGGTTGCGAATCTTTTTTTTATGACATATGGCTATGGTATTTCACCTACCATCGAGTGTACCCCAGCTTTGTCTGTCGTCCTCTAACATAAAAAAACAAATCAACAGTCAACAGCGCGTCGAATAATGGTGGAGTACTAGCATGGTGTGTTGTTGATCGTGGGTTCGGGTGCGGTAACATAATGTATTTTCAATCTTTAATATCTAAATGAACTTAGGCTCGTTGCTTTGAACCTGTGAAATTCTAACGTTTTAAATACATATGTGATCTAGCCTTAAATAAAAACACACACTAGAAAGAAAACTTTATTTCACTTGTCAACCTCGTGGCCCCGCGCCCCTAATTTTTAAACGAGTTTAACAAATATATTTTGCGTTTTAAACCGTTATTTATTAAAACATGTTCTAACTGCAACTACAGACAGTATTTAGTATTTTATTTTTATAATTCTCAATTTGGCGTGGCTTCTGTCCCCTTCGTGTGTACTCGGCCTTAGGCATTAAGGTGTAATAGGCGTAAAATTGTCGATGCATCCCAATGGTCAATGGACAGAGCGGGATAATTCAATCACTCTTGCAGATATCAATAAGTAAGTATGACTACTGTACAAAGGCATTTAACGTGATGCTGCTTTTTCGTCTCACAACAATTGCTTATTTAGAAATATCATTGTGTCAATCCCGTTTTATCTATGTCTGTGAGCAGACATATATTTGTGTCTCTGATTAATTTTAAAAGATACGTCGTTATAGACTTCAATGTCATGTCACGAGTCCCCGGGATTCAAACAGACGACCTCTCGCTAAATTCAAAGCTAGTACATATTTACATTTGTTTATGATACAGCGAAACAGACGAGCATTGGGAACCCTTGGTGGAAGGGTAAATACCCCAGACATAGATCAAGAAGATGGGTAGTTAAACTATTTTGGATTTGGATATTCGGAAATCCATAGACTGAAACCGAATTGCGATTAAAGTTTACAGCTTTTACATCTGTGTAAGCTTGTCAGATTTTCAGGGGAAGTCCGACATGTTTCAGAAAAATTATACATTCCTTCCATTTATTATTTTTCAGCCATACTTTGCTATTATTAGATTAACTGTCAGTTGATAGAGCAATGACGGGGTCCGAGTCACAGGTCTGTTTGATTTTTTCTTAGTATTACTTATTTTTAACTATGTGGTATATGTTTGCAGTAAGATTACACAAAATCGCATTGATAAAGTCGAGAGAAACCCAAGGAAAAAGAGTATGCTAGAAATCAATTGTCATTTTACATTAATATCAATGCCTTCCCACGAAACAATACTGACAGTTTCACTTAAACAGATGCGCAAGCGCCGCGTGGCTAGTTGACGCATTTGAAGTTCCGTTTCAATATTTTCAACAATTTAAAAAATACATACATAATTATGACCCGTTATATAGCTCTCCTTTCCACAGTGGTTATTCTATCTGAGACAGACACAAAAATGTGTCTGTCGCGTGTTCGTAACCAGAAATGGGGTCTGTGTTTTCGCGATCTTAAGCTAGTTACGACGAAAGAAATGTTCCCCATTGTCTATGCTGCGTTTTGTTTTAAAGAGAAGGACAGACAACCCCACTGTCTGACTGTCTGTCCTTCTCTATTATAAAAATTCTATTGATAATATATGAAATACCAAAGCAAGTAACATCTAAGCAAGATTCGCTATCAACCTATTTTGAGTTAGGTTATTCGGAAATCCACAGACTAAGGCCAAAACGCGACGACTTTTTCGTTGACTTCGTTATTTATTTCGTGTTTTAAACCGAACACTTCAACTA